AGAAAAAAAGCATTGAACGTCTCTGACGAGCGCAGGTTCTTTTTTAATTGAAAATTCAAGTGCCCTTGCAATCTTAATTAAGGGTTGGAAATTTTCAGCTCGATCGATTGAACAAACGAGTGCACAGAACCAACGTTCGTTGCTACTATCGAGACCGTCGGCCAATGGTCACTCGCTCTTCACACTTTACATGGCTATTTCTATAGATATACAATATGCTATCCTCCCTCTCTCCCTCCCCCCCTTGCCCCGGATTTCAACTCACTCCCTCCCCCCTTTTATCCAAAATTCTCTCTCTTCTTCGTCACTCTCTGCTTTTCACCATTCTCCTCTGCCACACCATATACACAATCCTAGTCATGCCAACCAGCTTTCAACCAGCAACTGAATTTTTCATACGATCTACGCTCAACAGAAGCTTTCTTCATCTATATATCAGATATTGTAACTTTAACAGGAGTTTTATTCCTGGTTGGAGGTTTTTTTTTGCATTATCTCCTCTCTCTCTCTCTCTCTGACAGTTTTTTTTTTAAATGTAAATTGAAGGGGAAAAAAAGTATTTCAAGGGCAAAGTATAGTTGTAACATTAGTAGTGTGACACTACTTTTATATTATAGTCACATCACTAAAATATTACTGTAATAAAATAAAAAATGTCTGACTAGGTAAAAATAAATTTTATTTGACACAAAAAATAATTGTCTGACTACAATCGCATTTTTCTAAGTAAAAATTAATTTCTTTAACAGTTAAAAATTAATTGTCTGACTATGATCGAATTTTTCTACTTAAATCCTAGTTTCTTGTAAGCACAGAAATTAAAAATATAATTGATTTACAATTATTTTTTAAAATTGTTTCAATTATTTTTTAAAATTGTTTTAATTATTTTTGATCAATTATTTAAAAAAAATATAATTGAAGGGGAAAAAAAGTATTTCAAGGGCAAAGTAGTTGTAACATTAGACGATAATTAAAATTATTGACATTTTCCATTTAGAGTAAAGGAAGAAATATTAAAATAAAAAATGTCTGTTCATAATCGCTGTTTATTACTTAGAATCATGTTTTTCCTATAAATATATAAAAATAAAATTGAATGTCTGACTTTAAAGGTTTCTATTCTACTCAAAGTGAGGACTGTACTATTATAAAAATAATACTGTACTATATAAAAATAAGAAACAAACGTCTGACAATGATAGACCTTTACTACTTAGAATCAACTTTCTTTTAATTTTTTTTATACAATTTATTGTCATTATCATAAAATAATAGAAAATAATTGTCTGACTACAATCGCACTTTTCTACTGAAAATTAGGTTTCTTTTTAATATAAAATTAAAGAATAATTGTCTGACCATAATCGACTTTTCTACTGAAAATAAATTTTTCTTTTACTGATAAAAAAACTGTCTGACTATAACCACATTTTTCTCCGTAAAAATAAATTTTATTTTACACATAAAAATTAATTGTCTGACTACAATAGCATTTGGTAGGTGGTCACTTCTTCTAAAAAATATTTTCTAATCCTTTTTGTCTAAAAAAGCGGTATCTAATGAAATCTGTTTTCTAAAAAAAGTTTTTCTAACAAGTTTTGATTTCTAAAAAAAAATTTTCTAAGAAGTTATGATTTCTAATATTTATTTGCCGAAAATTTTAAAATTTCCATAATTTTGTTAAAAGCTAGAAAATTGTTTTTAAAAAAACTAAGATTAAGAAATAAAAATTATTTTGCATATTTTCTGTTTCTCAATCATAATTTTGTTTATAAAATTATAAGTTTCTTTTTTAAAAAAAGAAAAAGTTTTTAATAAAATTACTATTTTTTATCACAATTTATTAACAAAATCCTATTTTTCTTGGAAAAAAAATAATAATTTGCATCATTTTTATACTGAAAGTTCCAAAATTAATTTATTTATAAAACACTTTTACAGAAAATTTGAAATATCTTTAGGAAAAAAATCCCTATAATTTCTATTTCTTAATTACGATTTTTAACTTCATTTTTAACTTTTTTTAAAGTTTAGTTAAAAAATTTGCATAATTTCTATTTTTTATTATAATTTTTTAACGAAATCTTAAGTATTTATTTTTAAAGAATTAAAAAATTTTCGTAAATTTTATTTTCTAATCATATACGTATTAGTCGTCATTACAAAAATTGAATATTGTTAGAAATTTTTTTTTTTGAAAATTGTCTTTATAAGAAAAAGAAATTTTTAGACAATGACCTTTATTAGAAGAAAGAAAATTAGAAAATCACCTTCATTAGAAAAAAGTTTTTTAGAAATTCACCTTTATTAGAAAAAAAATTTTTAGAAAATAAAAAATTAGAAAATACGTTTTAGAAGAACTGTACCCCAATCTAGCATTTTTTTAAGTAAAAATAAATTTTTTTTGCAGATAAAAATTAATTGTCTGACTATAATCGAATTTTTCTACTTGAATTCTAGTTTCTTGAAAGCACAGGAATTAAAAATAATTGTCCGACTAAAATCGTCATTTTCTACTCGAATCTATGTTTCATTTAAATTTACAAATAAAAAATAATTGTTTTACTATAGATATAATATAATTTTCACTATATATACTATACACTATACTTAAAATTATATTTTACCACATATAAAAAACATAATTGTCCGTCAAAAATCGTTACTTTTTACTTCAAACCAAAATTTTTTAAAAATATAAAAATAAAAAATTACTTGTCTGTCTATTATCGCCTTTTCTACTAAAAATTAGATTTTTTGTAAATAAAAAATAATTGTCTGACTATAAACGACTTTTTCTAGTTCAAACCAAAATTTCATAGAAGTATAAAAATAAAAAATAACTATCGATCTATAATTGCCTTTTCTACTGAAAATTAAATTTTTGTTGCCTATAAAAAATAATTGTCTAATTATAGTCGATTTTTTCTACTTGAAACCAGATTTTCTTCCTAATGTGATATTAAAAAAAAATTGTCTGACTACAATCGAATTTTTCTAAGTAAAAATAAATTTCTTTTACAGATAAAAATTAATTGTCTGACTATAATCGTATTTTTCTACTTAAATTTAAGCTTCTTGTAAGCACAGGAATTAAAAATAATTGTCCGACTAAAATTGACATTTTCTACTCGAAACTATTCAAAATTAATTGTTTTACATGTAAAGAAAATATTGTCTGACTGTAAAGGCATTTTTCTACTGAAATCCAAACTTCTAAACACTTTTACTCATAATAAATTATATTGTCTAACTAAAGTCGTATTTTTCTACTTAAATCCAAGCTTCTTCTAAATACAGAAATTAAAATTTATTGTCTGACTAAAATTGACTGTTTCTACTTGAAAACAAGTTTCCACTAAATATTAACATAATTGTCTGACTAAAATCTTATTATTCTACTTAAAAACTGGTTTTTTCTAAATATAAATAGGAAAAATAATTTTCTGATCACAATTATCTTCTATAGTTAAAATTATATTTTTCTACCAATAAATAATTACTGTCTTTCTATAATCGCCTTTTCTACTTAAAATGATATTTTTCTACATATTAAAAAGTTAATTGTCCGTACAAAATCGTTTTTTTCTACTTTAATCCAGAATTTCTTGGAAAAATAAAAATAAAAAATTAATATCTGTCTATAATCGCTTTTTGTACAAAAATTTAGAATTCTTTTGCATTTAAAAAATAATTGTCTGACAATGATCGACTATTTCCACTTTAAACAGGATTTTCTTTCGAAATATAAAATATAAAAAAATCGCTCTTTTCTACTTAGAATATTAAATTAAAAAATGCCTGACTATAATTATCATTTACTACTTAAACTTGCAATTCTTCAAATTATAAAAATTGAAATTAAAATTTGATGTCTGACTATAAAATTTCTTTTCTACTTAAGTCAGCTATTTTTCAATCTTAAAAAAAAATTTTTATCATTTATTATCATTAAAGAATAATTCAAAAAATATTATTAAATACACACTTTTTTTTTACTGAAAATCAAGTTTCATTCAAATATAAAAAATGAAAAAAATATAATCTGACTGTGTGTTGACTTTTTCTACTTAGGCTTAATTTTCTTTTTGTTTTAAAAGTAGAAACTAATTGCCTGACAATATTGTCTTATTCTACTAAAAAGTAATTTTCATGAGAACATAAAAAAGTATTAGGTCTGACTATAATGCTTTGTTCTACTTAAAAATAGATTTTTATTTAAAACCCAAAATTTAAAAAAATTTGTCTGACTATAATGTCTTTTTTCTAATATAATAAATTTACTTTTTTTTTGAAAATAGAATTCAATCGTTAGACTTATTCTTCTTATTTTTTTTTTTAATTCGACTTAAAAGTTAATTTATAATTGATAAAAATATAAAATTTATGGGTTTGACTACAGACTCTTGTTCTACTTAAAAATTGATTGCTTCTAAACTTAAAAATAAAAGGTGATCGTCTGACTATTCTTTCCTACTTAAAAGTACGTTTCTTTTGAACCGCAAAAATAAACGTCTGACATAAATTAATCTGTTCTACTTTTAAAAGTAAATTTTTAAAAATTAAATTCTTTCTAAAAGTGAAAATAAAAAAATTAAAGTCTGACTAAAACATATTTTTCTACTTGAAATAAATTTTACTGCATACAAAGAAAACATCTTACAAAAAAATATCATTCAAAAAATAATGAAATATATCATAAAAAAATAAATCATACAAAAAATATATCATACAAAAAATAAATCTTACAGAAAATAGAAACTAGTTTGTCTCAAAGTTCTTTTACTATATACTCAAAAATGTATTTCTTTTTTGTTTCTATTTTATATATTTGTATATATTTATCAAAAAAATGAACTCGTGTAGGTATATAAATATACGCCTGTTACATACCAAGGCAATTTTTCCCACTCTCTCAAAATTATAAATATACAAATTCCCTTGATGCGCACCCACACACAACGTAAATAAATTCATGTATTTTGGTTAATACTTACAGCACAAAGTTGACCATGGAAACATGAACTGATTGGGGTGCAACCAATGCAGTTTAATTTATGACCGACTGCCAGCCAGTTGCATCGTCAAGTGTCATAAAAAAATCGTGTATGTATCATCTTTCTCGAAACTCTGCAACAACAAAAAATTGTTTTCTATAATTAAAGTTTCAACATAATTTAATGAGTGCATTTTAAAAAATATAGAGGATTGCAATTTATAAATAGGTGAATAATAATAATAATAATAATAATAGAATAAGGTAAAATTTTTCTCATTGTCTACCAATTTTCATTTGAAATTTCCATTCATGTGTGTGGGGGGAAATTCGCGCACGAAAACATGATCTGAGAATGTATTGGTATACTTTGTGTGTAAATATATATATATATATATATTCTAGAGTTTAATGGTCCGCCATGTTGGTGATGCGAGGTAGATTTTATACCGCTTCTCTATCGAACAAAACAGTTCGCCGAAAATGATTCTGCGTCGTTCTCAGGTCGATGACCATTTGGGAGTTTTGGTGCTGCGTTTCTTTACTCGTCCTCTATTTCTCTTTTGTTTTTTGTTTTTATTTATTTATTTTTTTTGTTTTTTTTTATTTTCACTGTCTAGTTTTCAATTTTTGCTTATTTTGCTTTTTGCATCTTTTTGTTCTGTTTTCATTTTGTTTTTTTTTTTTTTTTTTTGTTCTGCTCTTATTTAGGTTTTTCTTTTTTTTTATAATGCTCTTATTTTTATTCTTCATTTATTTTTATTTTTTCTTTGTTTAATATTTCGTTTTTTCGTTTTCTTTTTTTTCTTTTTTTCTCCTTTCTGTTTTGTTCTAAATTTATAATTTTAAAATTTTTAAATTTATGATTTTTTTTTAGCTTTTCTGTTTCTTTTAGAAACCAAGATAAAAAAATGTTACAAACCAAAATGCAAATGCATTTTGGTTTTTTAGTTTTCTTTCTTTCATTTTTTTCATTTTCATTTAATTGTTTGTTGTTTTAGCTTTTTTGCTTCTTTCTGTTTTACTATTATTTTGTTTAGTACCAGGAAAAAACAATATGTTTGAATCAAACATAATTATCGTTGTTATACAGTCAACTACAAATTATTCTTGAATTAAACATAGGTAATTATTTTGATTCAACACATAATAAGTTTGATTTAATAAAAACGAAATTTTATTCAATTATAAAATATGTTTAAGTCAAACATACTTTTTTTGGTTAGCTTCTTATTTTACAATAAAAAAAAATTTTCCTCTGTGTATTTTTGTTTTCTTTTATTTCTTGTTTTTCTTTTTTGTTATATATTCTTGATATTCCTCTTTTTTTTGCTTTTTTGTTTCTTTTGGTTAATTATTCTTATTTTGTTTTGTATTTTTGCTTTCTATATTTTTATTTTTTAAATTTTTTCCTCTCTTTTGATTCTTTTAGTTTTTTCACATTTTGTTTAAAATTTCATCTTTTTCTTCTTTCTTTGCTTTCTTCAAATTTATCTGTTTTTCTGTTTTGTTTAAATTTTTGATCTTCTTCTGTTTTTTTTTGTTTCATTTTGTTTAATTCTTATTTTGTTTTGTACTTTTGCTTTCTTCATTTTTATTTTATAAATTTTTTTCTCAGTTTTCTTTTATATTTTTGATCCTCTTCTTCTTCTTCTTTTCTTTTTGCTTTTTTGTTTCTTTTGATTTAATTACAATTATTTTGTTTTGTATTTTTGCTGTCTTTATTTTTATTTTTTAAATTATTTCCTCTGTTTTGATTCTTTTTTTACATTTTGTTTTATATTTCATCTTTTTTTTTGTTTTCTTCAAACTTTTCTGTTTTTCTGTTTTGTTTTGAATTTTTGATCTTCTTCTGCTTTTTTTGTTTCTTTTTCTTTAATTCTTATTTTGTTTGTATTTTTGCTTTCTTCATTTTTTATTTTTAAAATTTTTTTCTCAGTTTTCTTTTATATTTTTGATCCCCTTCTTTTTTTTGCTTTTTTGTTTCTTTTGGTTTAATTATTATTATTTTGTTTTGTATTTTTGATTTCTTTATTTTTAATATTTAAAATTTTTTTCTCTGCTTTGATTTTTTTGTTTTTTTCACATTTTGTTTCGTACTTTTATTTTCTCTAAATCCTTTTTTTCTATATGAAGTAGAATTTTTTTTTCTTTTTTTTTATTTTGTTTTATATTTTTGCTTCTTCTTCTTCTTCTTTTTGTTTTTTTGTTTCTTTTTGTTTCATTCTTATTTTATTTTGTATTTTTACGATCTTTATTTTTAATTTATTTAATTTTTTTCTGTTTTGTTCTTATTTTCTTTTGTATTTTTGTTTTTTTAAATCCTTCTTTTTTTTGTTTTGTTTTACATTTTTGCTTTTTCTTCTTCTTTTTGTTTTTTTGCTTTTCTATTTCTTTTTGTTTCATTATTATTTTATTTTGTTTTGTATTTTTGATTCTCTTCTATTTTTTCGCCTTTTTCTTTATTTTGGTTTAATTATTCTTATTTTGTTTTGTATTTTTGCTTTCTTTATTTTTATTTTCAAAAGTTTTTTCTTTGCTTTGATTTGTTTTTTTCACATTTTGTTCTGTATTTTTGTTTTTTTTAAATCTTTCTTTTTTTCTATTTTGTTTTATATTTTTGCTTCTTCTTCTTCTTCTTCTTCTTCTTCTTCTTCTTCTTCTTCTTACTGTTTTTTTTCCTTCTTTGTTTCTTTTTGTTTTATTCTTATTTTATTTTGTATTTTTACTTTCTTTATTTTTTATTTATTGAATTTTCTTCTGTTTTGTTCTTATTTTGTTTTTTTACATTTTTTTTTATATTTTTGTTTTCTTTAAATCTTTCTTTTTTCTATTTTGTTTTATATTTTTACTTTCTTTAATTTTTTTTTCTGTTTTGTTCTTACTTTGTTTTTTATTTTGGTTTTTGTTACTTTTCTATTTTTCTGCTTTGTTTTATATTTTTGCTTTTTCTTTTTCCTTTTGTTGTTTTGCTTTTTGATTCATTTTGTTTTATTCTTATTTTATTCAGTATTTTTGCTTTCTTTATTTTTATCTTTCTAAATTTTTGTTTCTTTGTTTTGTTTCATTTTTGATTTGTATTTGTTTTTGTTTCTTTTTACTTTGTTCTTAGTCTGTATTATTTCTTTCTTTTCTTCTGTTTCTTTTTTTTTATTTCGTTTTCCTTTATTTTTCACCTTTTTGGGAGTTTTAGTGACCTATTTCTTTACTTGTCCAATTTTTTTAAAATTTTTTACTCGTTCCAAACATTTTTTTTTCTTTTATTTTTTTTAATCTATTTTTTCTCTAAGCACGTTTACTACTTAAATAAATAAATAAATTTTTCTGTTTTCACTGTGTCTTGTTTTCCATTTTTGCTAATTTTTCTCTTTTCTTTTTTTCTTTTTCTCCTTTTCTTTTATTTTTTGTCTTAAAAAAACAAAAAAAAAAATTCAAAAAAGAGAAAAAATTTCTTTCTTTTTTATTAATAATTATTTTTGTCCCTCATTAAAATATTAGACTATTGAAAAAAAAATTCTACTCCCCAAAAAGAGAGAAATTAATCACTCAGAAATTATTCGCAATGAAATTTATCAAAAAATGTGTCTGAATTCAAAATGACTGTGAATTTTTCTTTTTTCCATTTTTTTTTTAATTTTAATTTTTATCGTTCTCTTGTTCAGTGAACGAGAGAGCTCTCTCTCTCTCTCTTTCTCTCTCGGCAGGCAGGGGGTATTCCCATAGGTGAAAGTTTAGGGCTATTCGTATGTGGCGGTAACATAGGTATACATGCGCTACGTGCATGTTTAAGTAAATATCTCCACAGTATTTGGACGAGCAAGCCTGAAACCGAGATAGCCGATGATTAATGGTCCTTCTTCTCGGTTTATTAACGACGTGGTCGTCTACGTATTTTCATCCCCTTGCCAGAAACGTCAACGATTTTTTTTCCCTGGTCGAGGTGGTGGAAGGGGGAGGGGGGGGGTTAATTCTCCTTCTAAAGGAGAAAAAGGATATTCATACCGAAAAATTGACATAAAATGTATAATTAATAAAAGGCAGAAGAAAAAAATTTATTAATTACAAGTAACCGAATATTTTTTGTTTGAAATATTATTTTATTCAATTAATATTAATAATAATACAAAAAGATATTTTCAATTTTTCAGATTTTTTTTTAAAAATTCACTTATGGAAAATTGAATATTTTTCGAAAAATGCGAACTTGTATTTATAATCCAAGGTCCTTGGAGTTTCTCGTCACATTATCGATTCATATATTTAACCCCGTCGCACAAGGCATAAATAAACGGTAATTCAATCCGATAATAGTCATACGCACAGAGTCAATTAAGATGAACCTTATAAGAACCAATTAAATCCCAAGTGGTAGTTTGGCTTATATTACTTATTTACGATCTAAAATTATGCCTTCTCGAAGTCTCTCGTTTGCTCAAATTTTTAACTTCGTTTCTGAAAATAATTTTTTTTTTAATATTTTGCAAATTTTTTCGTTTATTTTAGCAATTAAATTCTGTGAATTCGAATCAATGAAATTTATAACAGTTTATAAAATTTGTTGTAAAATAAAATATAAAATATAATAAAATAATGAAGTACAATTTAAAAAAATAAAAGAAACTAAAATAATGAAATAAAATATTATAATATGAATAATAATATAATAAATAAAAAACTTATTCGCAACAAATAAAACTGAAATATAAATTTTTATCTAAAGTCATCAACTCTTTTTTCTCCTAAACATCCACCTTGTGAGTTATTATTATAGGTAATAAAAAAAACCCCCCCAACGGAAATATTGAAGCAAAATAAGCATTCTAATATACAGAGACTATTTTTAGTTTCAACAGCTAAATGAATTCATAAACCCCCCCCCCTCCTCTTCCCTACTTCACTGTAAAGAAAGTAAAGAACAAGAATGGAGAAAAAGTCAATGAAAAAGAAAAGAAATAGGAAATAAAAGAAGCATAATTGTTTCATATATAACTTAATTGAAAAGTAGATTGAAATTTAATACGAAATGGAAAATCAGATTTCTCGTTTAACTGACATTTTTATTCTGTTAGAACGATTCTTAGTCGAGCTATATATCGCGTAAAAAATAGTGTTTCATAGCCAACGAAGAATATTGGAAAGGCGTTTTCGTTCGCGCCATTTTCAATCGGGAATTTTAATCTGCACACTGACCGTAGACGAGTTTAAATAGAAGCGAAATATATCTATATATAGCCTCTCTTCGAAACACGGCACACAGAGAGAGAGTGAGAGAAAGAGAGAGAGAGAGAGAAAAAGAGAAAACCTGGGTGCAACATCAATTCCCTCAGAAAAATAAATCGTACGCGAAACAAACACATTCGACTGAAAAATTATTGTTCTCACACACTCGTATGAGATCGATGTTGAAATAGAACAATTGTTTGCCAGCTGCAGAAAAAGACCGATTGCCTGATGAATGAACTCGTCCTTTACAAGTTTACAAGATAGTTTACTTTGACTTCTCATATATCACATTTTTTTCTCTGTATTTATTAAAGAACTTACTAATTTTTTTTCTATTTTAATCAACTTATTTGGAAAATATTATTTTTTATTGTTAAACAGTTATGTAAATTAAATTTATCGAAACATTTTTCTATTTTTCAATTGTCTTTAATTTTTTTTAAAAATTATTTTTAATTATTATTTCAAATTGATTTCAAATTATTTCTAATTGTATTTAATTATTTTCAATTGTTACCAACTATTTCAATTGTTTCCAATCGTTTCCAATTGTTTCAATTGTTTAAAAATAATATTTACTTTTTTTAAAATTTATTTAACATATTTTCAATTGTGTCAAATCGGTTTTAAATTATTGCAAATCGTTTTTAATTATTTTCAATTGTTTGCAATTATTAAAAAACGGTTTCAATTATTTTCAAATTATCTCCAACTGTTTATAATTTATTACAAATGTTTTCAATTGTTTACCATTGATTTCAAATTATTTTCAATTATTTTCAATTATTTCTAATCGGTTTCATATTATTTTTAATTATTTTCATATTATCTTCAATGGTTTTAAATTTTCTTCAATGGTTTCTAATTTTCTTTAATTGTTTATAATTATTTTTAAATGTTTTCAATTCTTTCAAATCGTTTTTATTTTCAATTATTTCCATTCAGTTTCAATTATATTAAATTATTTTCAAATTATCTACAATTGTTTTTAATATGCTGCAAATGTTTTCAATTGTTTACCATTGTCTGCAATTATTTTAAATTGTTTTCAAATGATTTCCAATTGTTTTCAATTATTTCCTATTGTTTTTAATTATTTACAATAATAATTTACAATAATTACAATTGTTTTCAATTATTTCCTATTGTTTTTAATTATTTACAATAATAATTTACAATAATTACAATTGTTTTCAATTATTTCCTATTGTTTTTAATTATTCTTAATTGTTTCAATTATTTACAATAATAATTTACAATAATTATTTACAATATAAAGACCAATTGCCTGATGAATGAACTCGTCCTTTCAACTTTTTCAACTTTATTATTATTTACAATATTGTTTTTAATTATTTACAATTATTTTCATATTATCTCTAATTATTTTTAATTATCTTCAATTGATTTTAATTATTTTTAAATGTTTTCTAATATTAAAAATTATTTTCAATTATTTTCTATTACTTTGGATGATTTTAAATAGTGTTCAAATAATTTATAATTTTGAAAATTATTTTCAATTGTTTAAAATTATTTTCAAATGTTTTCGATTCCATCCTATTGTATTTAATAATTTTTTATTTGAATTTTGAATATTTATTCTATTTTTAAATTGTTTTTAATTTTTTTTTGAAATTGATCTTAATGCTTTTAAATCGTTTTTAATTATTTCAAATTGCTTTTAATTAATTTAAATTGTTTTTACTTTGCAGTAAGATATGTAAAGTAAATTAATTAAATTAATCAAAAGTTACGATTAAATTAAATCACTAAAATTTTTTGATAATTATTAAATACATTATTATTATTATTACCATTATTAAATAACTAAACAATGTTGAATGAATGAATTAAATTCAATTTTTTCATAGTTTTAATTTTCAATTCCTAAAAAATAGTTATTATTTTTATTACTATTATTACTATTATTATTACCACTATTATTCTATTAAATATTTGTAAATAATTTTTAAATGTATTTTTCCAACAAAGTAAGAAAATGTGGATTTATATATTTTTTTCACAATTCACAGATAACAATACTCGGATTTATTGTATTTTAATAAATATGTATGGGAGAGAAATTTCATTTTTTATTGAATCGCTTTTTGAATCCATTATAATGATTAATTTTCTCTCTCACTCTACCTTTCTCTCTCTCTTCTTTTTTTCACTCTGGTTAGTGACATCGAATGACGACATTATGGGCAGAGAAATAAAGCATTTAATGAAATCAATAGCAATGAAATTGAACGGAAAGGTGGACAAATTTTTTAATTCCTATACTTTTTCGGTTAGACATTTTTTTTTATTTGATTTAAATTAATTTTTTTTTTATTCTGTTTCCTACTAATCTTTTGAATTTATAACTACTTCAAATGGTGTTATATGATAATTAATTTGAATAAAAAAATTATCTATTTTATCAATTCTGAAAAAAAATTATAATTTTCAACTAAAAATTTTGTTTTTAATTATAGATTTTGATATGGTATTATTTTTTTTATTATTATATTTCATATTTATATATTTTATATTTATTTACTTATTTATTTACCTACTTATTTACTTTATTTATTTACTTATTTATTTAATTGTTTATGTACATATAGATTCACTTATTTATTTACCTATTTATTTACTTATTTATTTTACCTATTAATTTAATTACTTACATATTCATTTACATATTTATTTACATATTTATTTACTTAATTATTTACTTATTTATTTACCTATTTATTTACTTATTTATTTACCTATTTATTTACTTATTTATTTACCTATTTATTTACCTATTTATTTTATTATTTATGTACATATTAAATTACTTATTTACTTAATAATTTATTTCATAAACGATTCTATAATAAAAATAAATAAAATATAAGCTAATATTTCTTTTAATTAACTTTCCCCAAAAAATTCAGTTCTTAAAAATAAAATCAATTGGGACCAACTGCATAGGGAGCTTTATCTCTTGTGTGAAGAAAAAATCTTCCCTTTGATTTAAAATTTTTCTCTATCCCTCCCATGAGTGCAATTTCATCGCTGCATTTTTCCTCCTCATAAGAATCGTAGTCGTCGCATTTTTTCCCATAAAATCCGTCTTTACTTAAAATTGACTCGGCATAAAATTCAAAGGCACGTTTGTGAGAACAAATTCCAAATATATCAATGAAACAACCAATTTGTGAACTGCCACCATTTGGATAAAAATCAACATCGCCAATGTCATTTTTATAACCCAAATAACCGGCGTTAGTGTGAATTATTTCCACATTATTAGCGTCATTTGGTGATATTCTCGAACCCTCTGACGCTGATCCAAAAAGTGGTAGAGCGGGGTCGAGACCTTGGAAATAAAAATTTACCTAATTTAGTTTTTTTCCTAATTGATATTTTTTATTAATTGTTATGATAATTTAATTTATTTTTGATTATTATTCTATTAATTATTCGGAATTATTTTAATAATTAACTAATTATACTTTTCACTAGTTGACCTATTACCTAACTAAGCTAATTCATTTATTCACCAATTATCCTACTAATTAATTATCTACATGACATATTAACTAATTAACCTATTATCTAATTAATCTATTCATTAATAATCTAATTGACCTATTAATTAATTAATCTATTATCTGATTGATCTATTCATTAATTATTATTCTGCTAATTAAGAAACTGATTAACATATTTACTAATTATTCTATTAACTATTAAATGATTAACCTATCAACCAATTAATTAATTAACTAATTAATTTTGAGTACCAATTATCCTACTAATTAATTAACTATTTAATCTATTCACTAATTACCCTATTAACTAATTAACCTTTCAACCAATAAACTAATTTATTTATTCATCAATTATCCTACTAATTAATTATCTAATTGACCTATTAATTAATTAATCTCTTATCTAATTAATTTATTCATTAATTATTATTCTGCTAATTAAGAAACTGATTAACCTATTTACTAATTATGATATTAACTGTTAAATGTTTAACCTATCAATAAATTAACTTATTGTTTTTGAGTACCAATTATCCTACTAATTAATTAACTATTTAACCTATTCACTACTTAGCCCTTTAACTAATTAATCGATTCGCTAATTATCCTACTAAGTAATTATCTAATTAAAATATTCGTTAATTAATCTTACTAATTAATTATCTAATTATCCTATTGATTAATTATCTTATTAATTAATTATGATTTATTAGTTATTTAATACTAATTTATTTTTATTTATTAATTATTTTCTATTAAATAATAATGAATTGCAAATAATTAATTATTTTCTATTAAATAATAATTGATTTCATATGATTAATTATTTGCTATTAAATAATAATTAATTACAAATGATTAATTATTATTTGTAAGTAATTATGATTTTTTACTTTTTTCGCAAATAAATTTGGAATTATTACCAACAATGTAGTCGATAGTATTAAGAGAATTATAGCCAGCAAGGCCCATAACGTGAGCCCCGAGTGAATGACCAACAAGTGTTGTTGCTAATGTATCCAATCCCTTTGTCTGTAGAAAATCAATCATTGCAGCTACGTAAATAGCAACTTTTTTCACTTGATAAGATGCATAAATATATTCATTCTTTGAGATTCGGCTCCAATCGATTATAATAATATTATAATCTCCCTGCTCTAAAAATGCTGAAATTTAAATTATTGTCAATTTTAAAATATCATTTTTGCTATTAATTTCAATATTTTGTTTTATTATTCCCAATAAAAATTGAGAGAAAGAGAGGAAAAATATAATTTTCCACCTACTCATTTCCCTATTAATGGATAATTAAAAATTTATTATTTGTCAATTTTGATATTTTTTCTTTTTCTAATTTAAATTTTTCAATTTAAATTAAAAATTTTTAAATTAAAATTTAGTTAATTTTTTCTATTAATTTTAATTTTTTCTTTCATTATTCAAATAAAAATTGAGAGAGGGAAAAATTATTATTTTTCACTTACTTATTTGCCTACTAATAAAAATTTTTAAATTTTATTACTCGTCAATTTTGATTTTTTTCTTTTTCTAATTCAAATTTTTCAATTATTAAAATTTAGTTCTTAATATTTTAATTTTAAATAATTATACCTAATATTTTAATTAATATTTAATTTCTATTTTAATTTATGTTTTATATTTAATTAATATTTTAATTAATATTTTATACCTATTTAATTAACATTTTAATTGTAAATATTTAGTTATTAATATTTTAGTTGTTATTTTCAATATTTAAATTATAAATTAATTTTAGTCATCAATGATCAATTATTATATCAAACCATGAAAAAAAATTATATTTAGAAGAATATGAAAAACATTTTTTGTAAATAATAAAAAATTTTTAAATACCATCTTTAATGAGATTGCAAGCGGGACTTTTATAGCTATTGGTCCATCCATGAGTGATAAATTTTGTCGGTCTTTTAGAATTAAAATTACTCTGCGATAAGGTGACATTGTCATTTAGATAGAGCCACTGGAAATTTTCGATATTTTCTTTTGTATAGAGTAGAAAAAAAACATAATTGTCGAGATTCAAATTTAAATCAACATCACCAGATGAGAGGAGACTTTTATTTAATGTCGCTCTAACTAAATTATTATTATCATCAGCAAACCATAATCCATTATCATCGAATATTTCTGTATTCTCATTCTCAAATCGATTGATATCGTCATCTAATTCCACTACAAAACATTTACCTATAAAATTCAAAACCAAAAAATTGTTTTTTAGAATTCGCATTTTTTTATTCTTATTTTGTCATTAAGAAAGCGTTTTATGAATTAAAAAAAGATTTTATTATGAAAATATTTTAAATATTATTTTTAGATTCTATAATAATTCTACAGTAATAACAATCAAGATAATAATAAATATAAAATAATAATAATTGTTTAATAAGTAAAAAAAATAAACACTATAAATATAAAATTATTATAAATAACAAAAAAATAATAAATATTTTAATTTTTAAGTATTTCAAAAAATAGATAATATTTTTTTGTTTTTTATTTTATAATAATATTTGCACAATATTTTATTATGAATATAATATTATTTAGAAACAATATTTTTATTAGAAATAAATTCACTGTTGGGGAAAAATCGTTTTTGAAATTAAAAAAAAAATAGAAAAAAGTAAAATAACGAGTCTTACCAACTGCCACGATAATAGTTAAATAAGAAAGAACACTAATGATTGTCATGTTGTCGTAAACGAAACTGATTAAAATGAGTGAATTGTTCTTTTAAATCCAAGCAACGATAGTCGGCATAAAAAGATAATTGTCTTACTAAACTCTCTTCTATCATCTTTTTAAAAACAGTTTTAATTCTCCTTTGACATGACTGCCAAACAATATATTGCGCATAATTCAAATATTTCAAAAGAAAAAAATTTTGTCGTTTTTTCAATTAAACAAAAAATAAATAAATAATAAATTTGTTTTGTTAAAATTTATAAAATTAAAAATTTTGTTTTTGTTCATTTTTGTAAATAAATAAATAAATGAAAACGTTTTTTTGTTCATTTTTGTAAATAAATAAATTAATAAATAAATAAAAGCGACTTTTCCCGATTATATTTTTAAATAAATAAAAAATAAACAAAAACTTTTTTTTTTGGTTTCGTTCAATTTTGTAAATAAATAAATAAAATCGACTTGTTCCCATTATTTTTTTAAACAACTAATACATAAATAAATAAAAACGGCTGGTCCCGTTAAGTTTTTGCAATTAAGTAAATAAATAATTGAACAAATAAATAATTCTACGAATAATTTGTTTTTACCAGACAGTAAAAATCCAAAAAGTAATTTTACAAAACTAAATTAAAATTTTAAAATCCACTTTTTATTTTTATATAAACGATAATTAATATTTCCTGTCATTTTTATTTTCGCTAGTATTAGAAGTTTTATTATTCTTCTAAATTATTTATTATAATTATTTATAACGTTTTTTTTTTTTTTTAAAGAAAAATTGATTTTGCAAATTAAAATAAACTTACATTTCACACTGAATTTTTAATTATCGTTTGGTATATATATATTGAAAAAAAGAACTTGTTTAATGTTTAATCAAATTAGAGTTGATCATCGGAGATGTTAACAACCTGCGATTTTATTAAATATTCAATCGACAAATTCAAATTCGAATGAAAAAGTATGACAATATTTTTAAACAAAATTTATAATAGCATGTTATACACGTGTATGTTAATATTCAATTAATTTTATTATTAATATTTATAATTATTTAAAATTTAATTATTAATTTAATTACAAAAAAACCGTTTCAAGAAAAAAAATTAATATAATTATAAATTCAATATATTTTAATATATTATTTTTATAATGTATTGAAAATTAATATATTTAGTAATAATTATTTACTAAAGAATTTAATAATTTATTAATTACTTAATTAATAATGACAACAATGTTTTTTAAGGTAAATTGTAATTGTTTAATATTAATAATATAAATAAATAATTAATTAAAATATTAACAAAACTTTCCACACAGTGAACAAAGTGACAAATAAAATATTTGATGAATAATTGAGTGAAAAATTGCAAATTATTCGAAAAAAAGGTTTTTATCAAAAATAATTATTATTTTTCCTAAGAAATTCACTCTTTTTATTTTTCATTAATTGGATTGTGTGTCAACGCGATAAACGAATCTCTAAATCGTCGATTGATTGATTGATAGCAAATTTATTTCCTGCTTTTAAAATGCTTTTGTAAATAATAATCAATCAGTAACGGATGTTAACGCAATACTTTTTTTTTATTATCATTCTTTTTTATTTTTAAATAAAATCTTCAAAAAAAAAAAAAAAAAGAAATTAATTGACCTTTGAAATTAAATTATTTTTTCCATTATTCTTTATTTGTAAATGTAATTATTATCATGTCGAGAATTTTTTTTTTCGAAAACTATACTGGAAAGAATGGTTCCAGTACAAAAAAAAAATGTTTTCTTCTCAAAGTTTTTCGAATTCAACAGTTTTTAATTATTACAATTCTATTTCTTTCCAAAATAAATTTTTTTCTACTTAAAAATCTTATTCAAAAGAGTAAAATAATGTTAAGAAGAAATATAATTAAATAATATATTACAAAAATAGTTAAAAAAGAAAAAAAAATTCTAAAAGAATTACTCAAAAAAAATTTTTTTTCCAATTTAAAAAAAAGTGAATTAAAAATTTATTTTTTTTTTCAAGTAATTTTTTTTTAACGAGTTTAATTTGCTTCTTTGGATAAATAATTAAATAATCGTCTAGGCTATCACGAAATTGCGCGTAGGCGTCTGTAAGACTATGCTGAGGGTGCGGGCGCTTGCGTGAAACTCGAAAATGAGGGTCTCGTCAAAGGGGGCGGGAGGGTGGCTAAAGTTGAGGGTGAAAGAGGCGGCGGGACGTGGTAAGAGGGGCAAGGGGGTGGAAGCGAGGGCGCCTGCAGTGACTAGCCTCCATCGATTTACCGTGCGACGCCATTTTGCCACCCTACACTCAGGGTTGAACACCCCCTTTGCCCCCATCTCGTTGAGGCAGTCGACGTTTTTGAAAAATGACTCCCAAAGTCATCAACCAACTGGGCTCTCAATAAAAGTGCCAATTTTTCGTTGAATATTTCAATTTCCTTTCACAAAAAAAAAAAAAATAAATAAATAAAAATAAAATGAAAAAAAATAATAATGAAAAAATAAATACTAATGAAAATAAAATAATAATGAATAAATAAATAAGAAATAAAATAGTTAATGAATGAATAAATAGGAAATAAAATAGGAATGAATAAAACGAAAATTAATAATGAATAAATGAATAACGAATAAAATAGTATTAAATAAATAAATAAGAAATAAAATATTAATGAATAAATAAATAAGAAATAAAGTAGTAATAAATAAACACATAAAAGATGAAATAATAATGAATACTTGAATAAAAAATAAAAAAATAAAATAATAATAAAAAAGTAAATAATAAAATAAATATTTTTTTAATATATAAAATAGAATAAATCAGAAATAAAATTGTAATCAATGAGTAAATGATAATAATCAATAAAAACTGATTGTTAATAAAGAAATGTGAATAATAATAATAATAATAATAAATAAACGAAAATAAGAAGAAATAAAAATATCAATAATTGTTAATTGAATAATGTAACGTTTGTAGCGCGGTGGTTAGCGTGTTGGATTTTAAATCCTTTGGTCGTGGGTTCGAATCCCCTCAGAAGCGAGTTATTTCCAAATTTCCCGATTTTGAGTTATTTAAAATTAGTTAAAAATAGTAAAGATATAAAAAAAAAATATTTAAAAATAAATTAATAGATATAAATAATAGGGAAATAAAAAAATATTAACAAATAAATAATAGTAACTAAAAATAATAAAAAAATAAATTGAAAAATATTAACAAATAAATAAAAATAGTAAAGAAATAAATAACAGAAGTATTAACAAGTAAATAAAAATAATTAAAGAATAAATGAAAATAATATCAATAATTGAATAATGCAACGTTTGTAGCGTGGTGATTAGCGCGTTTGGTTTTAAAATCCATTGGTTTTGGGTTCGATTCAACTCGGAGTTGATTTTTCTAAATTTTTCGATTTCGAATTATTAAGAGCTGAAAAAAATTATAATAATGAAGAAAATAAATATAAATATAAATAAATAAAATAATAAAAATAATGAAGAAATAAATAAAAAAAAAATATTAACCAAATAAGCAAAAATATTTAAAAAATAAATACAGAAATTATTAACCAAATAAACAAAAATAGTAAAGAAATAAATAAAAAAAAAAATATAAACAAACAAATAAAATAAAAAAGAAATGAACAAAAATACTAGAGAAAAAAATAAATATTAGGAAATAAATAAAAGAAGTAAAATTCGTAGCATAAATTTCCGATTTAACGACAATAAATAATTTACATTTTCATTTCGAATAATGAATGAAAAAATTTATTCAAAAACAAATTTCTTTCGCTATTTTTTTTTTCCTTCTTTTTTATAGATGAAGGATAAAATGAGATTTCGTGGCGATTTTTACAATACATATAAAATTCCCTTGATTTGTGAATATAAATTTGAATACTTTTTTCCTTTTTTTTCTTCTTTTTTTCGAGAGAGAGTGAGTGAGAGAGTGAGAGAGAGAGAGAGAGAGAGAGAGAGAGAGAGAGAGAGTGTCGAAATCACGCGAGCGCGTGATTTGGACGTAATGTGTAAATACCATCGGCTTTAAGCAAAACGGGCGCGCGGCTCAAATTCACACACAATCGGGGGAAAACAGATAGATAATGGAAACGAGTTGCGAGAAAAAGATTTCAATCGCCTCTAACCAATCCAACGAATGGACACAATGCCGAGTATTCGAGAACTCGTGGTGCGGTCGATCGGCTCTCGATTATCTCAAAAAAGATTTTTTGTTACCCCCTTTGCCCCCCCTCATCTCTCCTCACCTCATCGAAAACCCTCTTTCTGCACCCCCCCCTCCCTCTCCCCCACCTCTTTCAACTCTCGACCTGTCGAGAGAAGATTAAATGCGTGTCTACCTTTCAGGAAGTAACCTTTTCAAAACCCTTTTGTTAATAACACCTCTAAAAAACAAATAAAGGGAACAATGATTTTATCATTTATAATTTTCTTTCTTTTTTTTGTTCTTTCTTCATTTTCAATTCTAATAATAATTTCATTTTAATTTTGAATTCTTATTAAAGAATTTTGTTAATTAAATTTTTTAAAAATTAAAATAATGTAATTTTAATATTTTATTTTTATCTGGAATTTTTATTTTCTAATCTATTCTAAAAATCTGCAATTATTTCTATTTTGAATTTTTATTGGAGAGAGTAGTTTTAATTAAATTTTTGAAAAACAATAATTAATGTAATTTTAATATTTTATTTTTTTCTGAAATCTTTATTTCTATTTTCTATTCTATTTTAGAATTCTAAATGAATTGTAAAAAAAGGAAGGAAATAATTTTAGTGAACCGTTTTTTAGTAAAATTACATTTTTTTTTTGCTAAATTTGGAATAATTTAAATTTTGTAGAAAATTTAATTGTAAGAAAAGTAATTTTTTGAAAATACTTTTACTAAACTTATCAGTAAAATTACTTTTTCATTTCAATTTTAAATTTTTATTAAAGAATTTTGTTAATTAAATTTTTTAAAAACAATAGTAATGTAATTTTAATATTTTATTTTTTTCTGTAATTTTTATTTCTATTTTCTATTCTATTCTAGAATTCTATAAGTAAATAAAT